TGGTAATTATTTTGACGGAGCCTAACAAGTGTTTTATGGCACTATCCTGGGCTACCAAAAAGCGTCTGCTACAGCCAATGGGATGTCCATGTGCCACAGACGACGAAAGGACGCCGGCGAAAACAACCTGTTTGAAGCCATTTGACATTTTCACACACGTGCAGAAAGGGCTCAAATGAGAAAAAGGGGCAATTTGGTAATTTTAGTTATGAACTAGAAAGCGACAACAGAGATTGCACAACCTCATCTTCACCCCCTTTATCCTTCCTAAAGGCATGCTTCGAAAATGTACGGCTCATTGCCGCGCCGTACCTCGCCCCAGACGAAGGCGAAAAATCCTGGTCGCGTGCGGAAGAGAGAGAAATCTGGTTTTCTGTTCCCGACGTTAACTTTGCACGGCCATTTTCACTCGACAATCGCAGCTGTGCGCGCTTGCGTTCCCGTTCTGCCCTCTTCTCATATTTGAGTCGCCTTTCAGTAGCTAGTTTAACGTATCTCTCTTTTTGGGTTTCAATTATTTCATCCCAAGTCAGATAAAGACCAGGTGTCCCTTTTTGCAAATCAACACTTTTCGGACGACTTGCGTTCGAACTCTTACTTTTCGAGTAACGTGTGCTTGTCAGAAGGATTTTGTTCACACTCCTGCTCTTATTCAAAAATATTTCAACCTCACGGAGTCCTGTTTTGGGGTCACTTGCTGCCTCCAAAATGTTTTTGAGCTTGCGCAAAGTCTGATTGTCGGGGTTGCGAGTTCTATTTGCGACATTTACTAAAGATGCCGAGCAACTTTTTGGGTCATATGACACCGCATTTCGTCCTTATCTCTTAAACCTGTCGAGAAATGAAAATTTCATTGGCCATAACTCCGTCTTTTCGAAGCTCAACTTAATCTTAGTAACAGTGATATAACTGTAAGCCAATGTCGCCACCATAAGATTTGATCGGACACTTCGCATGTCAAGTGTCGTTTGCTTATGGAGCAAGTCACAGTATGTGTGAATATCGTTTTTGAAAGACCTGTTAATGTCCTGGTCGAATGGTTGTAAGAAATGAGTTGTGTTAGAGGGAAATTGGACGACCTCGCACTTTTTTTGCTTGCATATCTGGAGCCACTCGTAGCCTTCTCGCGATAAGTGGCCGTCGAGAGTCATGCAGTAAGAAAGCTCCGGGGGTATTTTCCTCACAAACGTATCCACATGCTCCATCACAAAGGAAATAATTCTTTTTTCCATACTTCCCCTGTCTGTCGTCATCATGACGGTTCCTTAGTCAAACTATGTTTTTCAGATAACCTCTCCGTTTCAGGGGAATGGCATTTTATTTCGGTCTGTTGGAGTGGCAAGATCCATCCACTCATTACATTCTTACCCTTTACAATGAAAAAGGGTGGTGTTTTGTGACCAGACCCAGAAACAGCCACTACAATTGTTATATGCTTGTTTTTATTTATAGCTTGACAAGCCACATACCTGCCATGATTGAAGTGCGGACCCAAATACTTAAGTTCTCACTCCATATTGGCAGTCTGCAGCTGTCTCGTCGAAGTTCCAAAGCCGCGTTAGGTCCCTGAATATGCCTGGATGTGTATTTTGAACTTTTTCAATGCTTCAGAGACCGTTGACACATGTGTGAAATTCTCAGCCGCCAACTTTGCCACATCTTTGTTTCTCACTTTTCGGTAAGTAATTTCTCAATTCACTGCCCGCCAGTGCCGGATGGTGTCTTGAGATGGGCTGCCAGATTCTGTGCCAAATCCTGAGCGCCCATCAGACGCTTTCTCAGTCATAATATTCCGCACATCACTATTCGAACTACGAAACCCTTTTCAGCTGCATAAAAATCCTTTTCTTCATCCAACTAGACTCTTATTCACTAATAACTGGGCGGCCTCCTCTTAAATGGGCTCGGGAGATAGAAGGGCGTTGATTTGTGATTCATCATGCTCTTGCAGAGCGTGATAAATGCGATCTACTGTTGCCCGGGGTACTCCTGTCGGTCTCACGACGATGGACCTTTTCGTACAACTACGAAGGAGCGCGGTGGCCTTCTATCGCCCCTTTTTTGTCAATGCGTCGCGCTCTTGTCTTGTTGTTTCAATCGCCTTCCACAATAGAATAGAGAGTGCCATGAATCACGCAATTCTGGAGTTGAAGTCATGATGTCGGTGCGACAGGAGAGAGGTTGATGAGGGTTGGGACGCTGTGGCGTAGCGGGAGTTTGAATTTTGGCGGTCTTCTGCAACGCAGGGCAACGAGGGAGGACTTACTAAGTTGTACGAGTAGTGTTTGCATGTGGACGGAGGGTTTTGGAGAATCTGGAAGGGGAAGACTAAAAATTACCAAATTGCCCCGATTACCAAATTGCCCCTTTCAGGAAGGGTACCCTCCAAAGGGAACTGTACTGCAATAATACAGTGAACCGTCCAGTGCTGGTCATACTAGTTAAATGGACAAGAAGTCCATTTAACTAGTCCCTGCAGCCCAGCAAGACAAGAAATCTTGCTGGGATGCATACTCTCCCAGTTACGTAAATGTAACTGTTGAGCGTCTCGCTCAAAAATTCGGACGGCAGGGTGCTACACTGTGGAACGCCCCTGCTACCCTCCAAGTGCCATGGCGACTAGATTTTTAATGAAGAATGAAGAAATCGTATTGATATGTACGGTATAATCGCAAGCGAATAAGTTTCCATTATTGGCAATGAAAGCAGCCGAAAAATGTGTGGATGTAAAATTATCAAGAGAGATTAATCGGGTTTGCGTGTTCTCGCAAACGCTTGTAATGTTACGCTATTTCAAAGTAAGTGTGCTGGGGCACAAGTCGTCGATCATCCTCGTCTTCTCTAGGCGAGGTCGAAAAGCGGTGCCTATTCGTAGCCGGCAGACTTTCGTGTCGCACGCTGGGACGGATGCTTGAAGATAATGTAAAACCCTGTTGCCAGAATGATTTTTGCTGTACGGCATCCCAGCAAAGCGTGCGAAAGGAGGTTGTGTGCTGTACCTCTGCGTTCAGTATACTACGCGATCGGGGGTGATGTAACTAGAATACGGTGGTGTACGTGCCTACGGATTCCAAAAAGTGCGACGGATCGGTTGAGGTGAAGATGTAACCGTTGTGAATGCGGTGTCCTTCTCTGCTGTAACATGTTACTTCTTATTTCAATATCAGTATTGAAGTGTTTTCCGGCTGTGTCCATGTCTTGATCGAAGCGGCGAAGAGTTTGCACTGCCGTTGTTGCACGGTATACAGTAGACCGGCAAGTGAGCGTAGTGGAAGAGTGGTATGCGTCAATCGCGTAGGTTGGCGTCTTTTTATGACTCTCTTTGATTCGTGGATCGGACATCACCCTGGGACAAGGCAGCTTTCGCAGCTGCAAATGCCTTTTGTTTTTGCATCGTCGGAAAACCTGGCTGCCCATACAATAGAGCATTAACGGGTTTGGGTTCACTAAAATGCAGGAACCCTAAATATCGCAAATGCTGTACAGTTCTGTGATTGACGTTTGCTGTATGAGCATTAGGTAGACGTGTACAGTATCCAAGGTCTGGGAGAGGAAGAGGCTGCTACAGTAGTAGGGAGCAGAACAGATCATACCAATGGCAGGGTACAGTCTGGCAAAGCGAGTGCGGGTGACATAGGCAAGTAATCATACAGCACAGACCCGTGTTGGGCATGCGCGACAGGGCTTTTGGGCTCGGCAGGGCATAGATTCGTATCATCCTCAGGCAAACAGCCTGAGGGGGGAATTCTGGCGAAAAGCGCTGTCACAGGACTGTGCACAATGGAGCGAGTGGAATGCTGTACCGCACAGCTTATGGTTGCAAGAGAAAGTGTAGTGATACAACACGGTACACTGTACCGCGAGTGTTCCAATGTGCAATCGAGTAGTCACCAATGGTAGATTGACAAGCTCATAATATGATCATATTATGAGCAGTTGGACCACATCCTATGAATAGGATCTTAAAGAGCAGGTGGGTCCTTCTTCTCGCGTTTGACAGTTTTTTAACATATAACAATGTCATATATTATGGTTGTAGGGCATTTTCAAGGGCCGTTGCCCATGGTACTGTAGAGTATCTAGACGCTGCCGTTCTTCCCACCGTCGAGTACACGCAGGAAAGCCGAAGAGCACATTCATCCCGGATGGGACAGGCGCCGCCGATGATACCCTTTACTGAGCTGTGCACTATGTTCAGGAAAAAAAGAACGGGGGACTGGGCCTTTGGGAAATAGTTCACTTTTCTTTCAGCTAAAAGTCATATAAGCAACCGCAACTATTGAGTATCGTTGTATGGGAGAAGTGAGCTCCGAGTAGAGACATGTACAATTGTACTGCCAGAGTCTCGCACACTGCGGTGCAGTGTACTGTACCTGCAACAGTCAGGAGCAGACGAGCGCGTGTTTGTGAAGCAATGGGGTTGCAACTAATCTGCAGGGGGGGTGTGGAGGGGGAGAGGGGCGAGCGGAGACGCATTCTGGAAGGATCGGGTTGGGATGTGCAAGTAGCGTAAGGAAGAAAGGCTGGAACGAGTAAAATGAGGTATATGAAGGCGAGGGCCAATGGAATTGCATGAAATCCGGGAGATTGGGAGAAATATCTATCATTCGGGCGGGGATTGGCCCAAATGGGGGGTCCGGGCGTCAGCTTGCAGCCGGGGGGCTGGCAGGGGCTTCCGGTGGATGTAATGTAATTATGATGCTTCGGGCTGCTGCGACCCCCTATCCAGTTGCCGGCCGGCGAGTGCCAGCATCTGCGGGCCAGAGCGGATCAGAGGCGTCATCAGCGCATGGTAGCGGCCACCAGCGATAGAAAATCTCGGCAGTGGCGCCCGTTGCCATGTGTAGGGCCGTCACGAATGGCATGCCATATCTCCGCGACGAAGGATAACATTAATTTTTTCAACAGCTGGCGGCTGCACCTTCCGAAAACAATTGAAAAATAACATTTCGCACGGCACAGCTTGGAGAGGCCTGCTTGACACGCGCCGCTTCATCAATATGACCCCACCCCCTCCCTCGCGGTGCTTGACTGAGAGCCACTCGCTTGTTCCTTGCCCCACCACTACCCGCACAAATTCCCCCTCACGTGTGTACCCAACCCCCCTTCCCCGTCCGTACCCACTACAGTAGTTCCAAAAGCCCTCGCGAGCCGCGTTTCGTTTCACCCCTGATTCTATTTAACAAAACGTCCCCAGCTGCCTTCCTCCCAACAAACGATACACCCAGCCGCCAAAGGCCCTTCCCCCCGACCTCTTCCCGCCGCCCCCCGACCCTACCCACATTACCCTGGTCCTCCTCGTTCCCTGCGCACCTCCACGGATACCCCCGCCATGTGCAACTTCCCGCGTATTCTCGACTCCGACGATATTCACGCCTCCGCTGCCACTGCCGCCGCCTTAGCTTTCACCCCACCCGCCGACCTCAGCAAGCGCGCCACTGAGAATCAGCAACGCATCGGCTTGCTCGAGGAGCTCATTCGCGCCGAGAAGCTAGAACTCAGCCGTCTTCGAGCCCATAATGACTCGCTTCAGCTTCCGCTTCCGCTTCCGCTTCCGCTTCATGAAAACTACCAACGCGGCCCAAATCCCGTCCCGCCCTCTCCGCAACCTTCACTAAACCTCGCAACCGAGTCCTTCAAAGCACCCCATCATCAGAACCGTAAATTCCCAACCACTCCAGAACTCACCCTTCGCCAAATCTCTTGCGCTTTAGACTCTTCACCTCGTGGTGTCATGATGCAGTCTTTCGAAACCCCTTCACACAGTCCGAATATCAACAACATGTCCGACCCTAATCTAGCCTCAGATACCGGCATGAACCGGACACTTTCTTGCGCAGAGGAGGAAAGCCCTCAAATGGCTGCTCGTGGAAGTCACTGGTCATTTGCTGAGAAGGCTCGCTTTGAAGCTGCACTGCAGAAGTATGGACCATTCGTGTGGGATGACATCATATTCGCGGTCGGTACCCGCACGGAAAAACAAGTGAAGGCCTACGCTGCACGTTACCGTCGTCGCAAGAAGCTTGCTAGCCGCATGGAAGCCCTGTTCAGTGACGTTGCACATCAACAGCGATGGCAAAAGGACTGTCAGGATGCGCGATCTCAAACCGAGACTTTGGAGTCAGAAGTTATGGTTGTCGATGACTCTGCATTTGAACTGCCCCAGGGTCCTTCGCTGTTGTCTGAGACCGACAACGGGAGTGTCGAATCTGATAAGACCGAAACCCTCATGGGTACACTCAGCCCTCACTTGACCGACCCTTATTCAGAAGAAACTCAACCGACTTGTTCAGATACAAGCCTTTTGTTCCCTCCGGCTCTCGTTGGGGACAGTATCCTGATTCCTGGGAAACGTTCTACCGGTGCTCAAACTATGTCCCCCGCAGGGGGTGATCTCCTAATAGATCGCGCTTTTGGAGAGGATGGTGTCATTGTGGGCGGTGACGCAGTCAAGACAGAGCAGCTTGTTCAGATTTCAGATGACTCGATGCAAGCAGATTTTCTAAGTTGCCTATTTCATCCATAACAGCGGTGTGGTTACCGCCCCTATTTTTCTTGTTCCTAAACTCGCTTATTCTTCCTATGCATGCGGCAGCTGTGTTGTGGCCTTTCAGGGCTTGAAGCCCACGAATTTGCAGTGTCATGTACCTGCTTGCACAGCAGCATCAAATTCGATCAAACAAAGCTCCTTTACTTCGGAGTTTTGTATAAACACTAGTAGGTCAAAAACCTAATAGGTTTATTACACATATCGGAGAGTGGTATCATGTCATCGCTTGCGGTGAAAGTGTGTCAGGGAAGCTTGCGATCGATACTATTTTCTTGTTTTACTATCATGTTGGTTACGGATGATTAAATACGAGACTCCTATTAATGAGCCCTGAGGTATAACCTTGCCAGATTGCCCACACTGTGGAGCAAATAGGCCTCTCTCGCGATATTTTAAATATCCGGCGCGGGGTCGGCCATTAATCAGAGTGTACAGTGCATGGTACTTGTCCAAGTACAGCATGCACAATGTCCTTGACCGCTTTGTATGAAACCGCGATCGCGAATTTGTCGACAGGCGAGGTAGCTGCGCATCTGCTGCTCATTTGAGGCCGCCTCAGCCGTCAGTGTCACTGTTTTGATGCTTTCAAAACGAGCCGTAGAATGGCGGGACACCTCACACCTGTCGCCGAGGTATCAAAAAGTGCTTCACTGGTGCCATTGGCACGCGTGGTGGCCTGTGCGCACAATGGCACAAGTGCCGATGCCAAGTACAGCACTGCATTGAGTAAGGGGCACGCTACTGTCGGAAATTGTCGTGTAGACGTCTCTTGTTTGGCAACAGCTTGCCCTCCCTTGCACAAGCAGGGGAGGAGCAAGGCACGCTGGAAAGACAAGGGGAGGTGCGGAAGTCTCGTCGCTCGCGTATAAGCAAGTAGTTTCTTTACTTCGAATCCCCCCGTTTCTCCTCTCCCCTTCTCCGCCCCTAGTCGGTGGAAAGGGGGAAGGCGCACAAACCTACTACGAGACAGGGAAAGCGAGCCTGGCCCTGAGGGCCAGTCCTAACAAAGGACTTTCCTCTCGTTTTTCCTTTCCCTCGCCCCGTTTTTATTGAGTTCTTCACTAAAATCGGAAGCACATTGCTGTAGTTTTTACTGTAATGCCATCCCATAGTTCCACTCCTCGGAAATGGAACAGAGTCTGGACGGTCTGCAGATCCATGCAGCATGGAAGGTACAGCAACGCCTCCTCGCGCATGCACATGGCCCAGTCTGAGTGTCGCAAAAAAATAAAAGAAAAGGGGGGAACAATAAAGGTTAACCGGCAGGACCGGGCGAATGAGGGGAATCGCGCTTTTTATTGTCGTGGCTTCGTTTTTGTTTTTCGCTTTTCTTGTGCAGCTAGTCTGCCTCGACCCTTCCCTTATTTATACTACTCCAGCCAGGTGCTTTGTCCTCTCCTCACGTAATGTTTTGCACTATCGAAGCAGTTTTTAGGAGAGGATGCACTGCATGTTGGCATCTGAGATTATTAAAATGCTCCCGTTGTTGTGCATTACATTAATTGCGTTGAGGTGCATTTTATTCGTCCTGTATACGTCACCGTCATACCATAATTTCCCACATTCCCTCTACTTCTGACGTGACGTATCCTCATTGTGGCTTCTGTCAATCCATTGATCCACGGGGTGCACGATTCGTGCGCTTTTTAAGGTGTTGATTAGTGAATCGTTTCCATTAGCCTTTGTCAAGCAGTCAGCCAGATTGTGTTCAGATCGAATGAATCCGATCTGTTCCATTTCATTTTGTTGGTACGCGTTTTTGACTACCTCGAGGTCAATCATTAGTCTTTTCTCAACCGTTGTAGATGCCTTTGTGATAACATCAAATAATGAGAGACTATCCGTAAACATTAGGATCGGTATCTTTATGTTCATCATCTTCTGTATGTCATGTCTGAGCATGAAGGCCATATCAAAGGAGTCAGCAAAGGCCATAGTTTCGCTGCCTAAAACTGATCTTGACACTCGTTTAGCCTTATGAGACGACCAATAGAGTGGTTGGCAAAGGTTGCTGCTATCACATAGAAATATGATGTATCCAAGCTGCGAAGAGCCGTCAGAGTTGTTTGCATACGAAGCATCTGAATAAACTCTTATGTGTAACTTGTTATCGTCAAGTTTGGGATACCTCAGCGGTAGGTATGGCTCTTTCTTGAGTCGTCTAATGGTGCGGTTAATGTATCGGATTTGAATTTTTGGATCCGTAGCATACTGTGATTCGGTAACCTGGGCGGCTTGAGCAATAGAGAAACTAATGTCTGGTCTAGTGTAGGTAATCCAGGCTAATTTGGCTCTTAATGATCGATAAGACTTGTACGTGGCTGTGTTCGGCAGCCTCTCTATCTTTCGGATGTACGACGTTTGGTGGATCATGTATTCAGAATCCTTTTTCTCAACTTGTACTCCGACGAAACTAAACTTATCGTAAGCTCTTCCCTTACAGTTGAACTTCTCTTCTGTCTTGTGAGCGAGATCTGAATACTCCTTGGTACCTGCTTGGAGGGCATCGTCCACGTAGGTAATGCACATGCCATCAAGCTTGTCCCGTATGCATTTAAAGAAAAATGCTCCATCACCAGTTGTTCCGGTCATGTTCAAGTCCTCTTTTATATGATTGCTGATGGTACGGCCCCAGTAATCACCACTATCGGCAAGACCGTACAAAGGTTTTAACAACTTCAACAAATTGCCCTGGTTCAGTTCAAATTCTCCAGTCGGTTTGATGTATACATCCCTCATAAGTTTTTCTGCGCTTTGAAGGTATGCTTGAGTTACATCTGTTGAAAACAGTTGGAACCCGCATATTGCTGCCAATCCGATCAAAATTCGTGTGGAGTGTTGCCTTGGTGTGGCAGTATCATGTACAAGAGACGTTTTTAGCTTATCCCTGTACCCTTGAACTACAAAACGGGCTTTCCATACTTCGTCTTTAGTATCTTCATCTTTTATTGCTAGTACAAATCTACCACCGAGAATATTTGCGTTCTTAGGTACTTCTGACTTGCAGACAAGCTTCCAAGTTCCTTTTTCAATCAAACCTTGCAGCTCCTTCTTCTTTGCGGCTCTAAATCTTTCATCGGTCGATCTAGGGTCACCAGGTTTGATCACTTCAGTGAGTTCTACATCAAAATTAGAGGGCTTTGGTCTGTTTACTGATTTAAACGGCTTCAACATTGTAGAAAGGAACTCGTCCCGTGAGAGCATGTCTGTTGGTTCAGAGTCTTCTTGAACATAAGGCTTAACTTGTTGCATGTTCATGGTCTTATGCCATTGCCCGTCGTTGCTCTTAACATCGACTATTTTGTCTCTTATACCTGTGATGATAGCAGGTCCAATCCATTCTTTACTTCTTTCTTGATACACAAGTACTTCTTGACCTAATTCAAATACGAAATCGGTTGCGGTTGGGATTCTTCTAGTAAGGGCAGCAAGAATGCGTCTCTCTGCCACTACAGCATTCATTTCCATTTGTGCCTTTGAAAGTGCAAGCATCCTTTCTTTCTGAGCGGGTATTTCTGAGCTAATGATTGGGAATCTTGGTATTATCCCGAATACAACTAGTGAGGGAACCAGTCCGTTATCTCCGTTGGTATCGTTCATGGCTTTGATTGACAGTTTCAATGCAATGTTGCGGTCAATTTGAGGAAAGTCGAATATTATCCTTCGATAAATTCTTCGGAGGGGTGCGTGTAGTCTTTCTCCAATGCCTAATGAGTTGTGAGCTTCGACTCCTGAAATTCGAAGTTCTATCCCAACGCTTTCGGCCATTTCCTTCCACCTAGGCGAAGTGAAAACGGATCCCGCATCAGTTCTGACGCGGTTAGGGAATCCTGTATAGAGAGTGCACCACGCTTCAAGGAAAGCAAGCCATATTCCGTTGACTGATTGTCCGTAATTCTGACCCTGAGAGTCTAAAAATATGGCGGAGCTGAAACGAGTTGCAGTGTCGACAATATGCAGAATTGCTTTTCCCTCGATGAACATCAGATCCATTGATATTTCTTTACCGAACTTAACGTCTTGCAGTGTGGGTAACGTGGTCTTGAAGCTAATTGGTTGTGATCCAAGCCTTTGACAGGTATTGCATGACTTAGAGATCTCTTTCAAGACTTTTGTGGTGGCCTCGGTGGCCTCGTGCGGTCGAGCTTTTCTGATGAGATTCAGAAGTTTCGTATCCGTTGGGTGTCGAAAACCTCTATGAAGTTTGACCAGTTCACTTCTTGAGAATAGTACTGAATCTTCCCGTTTCCATTCCAGGTAGACATGTCCAAACTTCCTTACGACTGGGACAGAAATGTTTCCCGGAGAACTGATTAGTACATTTCTTGTCGTATCCAGGTATAGTTGAAGTTTATCGAGCAAATCCAATCCCAAAAGAAAAGGTACATTCGCTCTAACTACGTCAACCTCAATTGGCACAAATCCGTTCTTGAGAAACGGTAATCGAATTGAGATTGATCCGATTGACTTCTGCACATCAACACTGAATCTGTACTGGTTGAAGTTCGCTTTTAGTTTGAACTTGCTCCCAACAAATTTGCAGTATGCTTTGGCTTGCAGTTGTCCGATTACAGTGCGTTGTGCTCCAGTGTCGATGCATGCTCCCTGCCAGTCTTTCCTGCGTTCATCCAAATTGATTCTCATCTGTGAAAGACCTCGGCGAGAGTTTAACACAGAATTGGTCATTGCATCGTTGGAGGATTTTCTGAGACGCCGGTTTCTTCGTATGTCATGGGCTGTCCTTGACCTACGCGAGATTTTGTTCCGGGACCGTTTTTTCTTGAGGACAGTCTCGTAGCGTGATTTATTTTCTTTGGACTTCAAACTACGACGGTAAAGTAGACTGCCTCTCCTCAAAAATCCTCTGGATCAAGAACTGATGCAATGCCCCGATTCTCAGAACCAGTAACGTGGAATACCTGTCCTCCTTTATCGGGATGTTCAGGCGTCTCATCCTCTGATGAGGTAGAGTCCTCCTGCTTGAAGTTGTCCCCTGCAAGGGTAGCAGAAGGGTCTTCTTCGTCTGTAGAGAACAACGCATCTTCCACTTGTTGACAGAGTTCGAAGAGGATTTGATGGCTTCTCTTCGGATATCTTCTGACTTGCGATGAAATATTTCGCATCACGTTGCGAGGTTTGGGGCAGTCCCTGATGAAATGATTAGGGTCCTGACAATTGTTGCATAGCCTGGGGTTGCCATAACGGTCTAACCTATTTTGACCGGCTTTTGTGCTGTCTTGAGGGGGCCTGAATGGGGCAGATGAGCGTGATCCTGGTTTCTTCGGTCGTCCGTAATATTTCTGACCTTCGTAGTAAAGATCAGGAGTATATTTGGATGAAGATTTTATCTGTTTATGTAGGGAAGATTGACCGATGTTCAGATCTTTCTTTCGACCTTCTTGCTCGTCCTGGTCTTGAAGCCAGGCGGCGTCGAGTGCTGTATACAGATGTTGGAAGTCCCAAGGATTAGATGTGGACTGCGAGTTCGCAAGGGCTGACTTGGCCCACGGGGCACCAACGACAGCCTTGTAAAGGTATTCTACCTTGTCTTCCTCGGACCGGTGAGTCCGTGGTCCTTGAGGAGCAAAACGTGTGATGATCTCACGTAACTCTTCCAAAGCTTCTGCGGTGTTGAGCTTCTTGGCATGCATTAAAGATTGAATTCTCAGGCTCTGGAGGTACTTTCTGATTCTGTTCTGCCGAGTTATGCTGTTGTACTCGTCTTGCATAACTTGGCATGCCTGACCAAAATTTCCACACCTGTCCCTCACCTTCTCTCGATAGAATCGCTTAGCTTCTCCATCGAATATGTTGTGGAAAAAGGCAAGTTTGTTGGTTTGGTCAAGGTTGTAGTCCTGGGCGGCATCAATGTAGTTATTGATGTGTTCCGTGAGGTCCTCACCCAGTTTTCCGGTGAATTTATCCTGGTTCTTGAATCGCAATGCCATGTTGTGAGCGGCTCTTGCTTCGGAGTCACGTCTCACAGGGGGATAACCTTGTACTGATGGGCCGGCTTGACGTTCAATTTCCTTGTTAGTAGGCATACATGCTCGGCTACTTTTCTTGTGTTGAACAAGCCTTTCGTAAGCAAAATCGATGTCGTCCGAGTCTGAGTATAACATTTTTACTAATCCCCATGAGATACGGTCAGTTGCGGGATGTCTGATATACTGTACACCTTCTGCACGTAAGAAGT